AGCTGTCACTGGATAAATTTTAACAGCTGTCGTGCGAGTGGCTTGGAAATGACAGCAGTCTGAAGTTGTTTGCAGTTTTTTCATTTCACCCGGTATAGATAATTTGATGTATATAAATTGTAGGGTGTACATTTTTTGTAGGGTGTACATTTTTTGGATTGAGGAATGACTTAAAGCGGTAAAACTACTCTACTGACTCTTTTATAAAATAATGATAAATTCATTATTATATGAAGCTCTATACAATACATAAGATACTATATACGTTAGATGCTATTATCGGAGAAAAAATTATTTTTTTTTTGTACACCAGTGTATATATTTTCAATTTTTCAAAAAAGACTGTTTTATTGTAGCGTTGCAACGACTTCATTTACATTTTATGGAAATCGATAATCTTCGGCATCAGATTGCCGTTGTGGTATTACAAATTAAAATCCATCAATTGAAGACACCAACAATTTATCCATCCAGCCATTTGCTGAAATGTGGTATACAAATAATTGCTTGCCGGATACATTTCATTTGCAAGAAAATGACTTTGTCGATGATATGTGTGTGTATATATTTGCACTCCGATTAATTTGATAAATTGATTTGCCTGTTGGGACTTTAATTTATTTATTCAGAGAATGTTGGCTTTTTACAAGGAAATGCATGGGAGTGCAATGCAAATATTAAAGAAAATACTTGTTAATGGGAATTTTTTTAAGAATTAAATTTGTTTATCTTTAATTAAAGTTACTGATAATAGAAGATAAAGTATTTATTTAAAAAATATCAATCAAAAATTGATATTAGACAAATATAAAAAAAAGATTTAGGTCATTCAAAAATAATTGAAAATAAATTTTTATTTAATACTGTGTGGTATTTAAAAATTAGAAAAAAATTATCAATAAAAAAAAATTGTGATAATGCAAAAATAAGGAATAACGGTTCCGTAGTTTGAGCCAGGAATGTAAGAGAAGTAAAAATTGTTCACACATATTCAACGGAAACTAATTTATTGGAAAATGCAAATATTTTACCAAAACTTTTATAAAAATAAAAAAAAAAATTTAATTGCACTTATTATTGGATAATTTGTTCCACTCATTTAACTTAACAATAATTGAATAAATATTGAAGTCCACGAGCGCACATAAACACTGTTTTCATGCATGTCCGAGCAAATGTGTTAATCGGCAATATTTTTAACTGAAGTTAATTACATCAAGATTTCAAATTTTAAATATATAGGTTGAGATGAAAAAAAACTGCAACCAACTTCAGACTGCTGTCTTTTCTGAGACACTAGTCCGACAGCTGTCAAATTTATTCCAGTGACAGCTCATTATATTGTTTACAAGCGTACAAAAGCATTTTGGTGAAAATTTTCCAGAAAAAATTCAGTCTAGCATTTAAATGTGAATAAATCATTTGTGTCTCCTACCATCGCTCGTTACCGTGATACTGGTAGCGTAGCCCGATGTCAGGGGAGTGGACGGAAGAAAACAGCAACATCAGCGGAAATGGTTCGAAAAGTAAAGAAGCGACTTGATCGAAACCCGCGTCGCAGTGGCCGAAAAATGGCTCGTGAGCTGAACATATCGCAATATTCCATTCGGCAAATATTGAAAAATGATCTCGGGGTAAAGCCATTAAAATTCCAAAAAGTGCACGAACTTACACCGCAACAGAAAGAAAATAGACTCAAAAGAGTTGCTTTGCTTGGCCGAAAGTGGTGAACTGCCGAATTTGGTTTTCTCCGATGAGAAAACATTCGTTGTCCAGCAGTTTGTAAACAAACAAAATGATCGTGTTTACTTGTCAAAGAGGTCAGCTGGAAATGTGCACCTTCAGTTGGCCACCAGAAGTCAAGGTCCGGGCATGGTGATGGTGTGGGCCGCCATAACAACCGATGGCCGCTCTCCGCTCGTATTAATCGACCGTGGTAACAGAATAAATGCCGAATATTAACGCGAAAATATTCTGGAAGGTGTATTAAAGCGATTTTGCCGCAGACCTTGGACATTCCGACAGGATTCAGCACCATCGCACTCAGCATGCGCCACCCAAGAATGGTTACAAAATGAGGTTCTTTGCTTCATTTCCAGCGCACAATGGACACAAAAATCTCCGGATACCAATCCATTGGACTATTGTGTCTGGAGTATTTTTGAAAGCTAGGTTGGTACTAAAAAATAGCAAAGTGTCGATCACCTCAAGCAAGCGTTTGCCGGGAATGGGCCAAAATACCGCGGAGCAACATTCGGGCAGCGTGTGACGGTTTCATTGGCCGTTTGAGGGTCATGATTCGTGCCACAGCTTGCCAATTAGAACAAACCTAAACTTTTTCAAAATTTGATGTTATTTCCGACATTTTTTGCTTTCATTCAAAAAATAACAAAAAAAAAAAAAATGTAAAAATTAAGGCGTTTGCGTTTGTTGCAGTTTTTTTTATCTCACCCTGTATTTGATAAATTACCCCGAAAATCATTGCTGCGGAGTACATATTACGGCTGTGAAAAAGAAAAATAACAAATCGGATGAAACTTATATATGTGAGCTATAGCTGAACCGATTTAATTCAGATTTGCCATACTTGTTGCTAAGCTCAATTTGGTCGTATGTGCCGAATTCCATCGTACTTGGACTAATATTACACATATGGTGCAAAATAAAAGGCAAATCGGCCGAAGATATATATGGGAGCTATTATTAAATTTTGACCGATTATCTCCACTTCCAATAGAGTTCGTCCTTCGGCCCAACACATATTTAATACAAAATTTCATTTCGATCGGGCAATAAATGCGACCTATACTTTCTTTACAAGAATACATGGACAGATGGGCGGGTGGACATGAATAAATCGACTCAGAATGTGATTCTATGTAGATCATCAAAAAGGAACTATGAGTCTTTGTCGCTTCCTTTTCTATGTTACAAACAAAGGCAGAAAGACATATTACCCTGATGTAGGGTGATGTAGGGTATACATATATTTGAAAGCACCATAAAAATTATATTGATGCAGTTTGAATCGTTTTTTTGTATTACCTCATTTTTTGTTAGGCCACACTCCATGAAAGTGAAATTTGAATTTCTCCAAAACTTGTTATTTAAACCAGAACGTAAAGGAAATATAAGAACCATAAATTAGTATCTTTAGCAAGCTAAAACGGGCTAAGCAACAAATATACATGCGAACGTACTTTTAACCTTGAATGTTTAAAAACTTTTATATTTGTGTATAAGAGAGATGGCAGACGAACGTGTCTTGTTAATTTTCACATGGTAATATACATTAATTTTTGGCAATTATAGTTAATTATTAACAAGTAAGCAAAGGCTACAGTCGAGCGGGGCCGACCGTTGAATACCCTACAACACTATAATAAACGATACAGTTTATATAGGCGAGATACTCGAAAGAATTCCACAAGATATTGTGACAAATAATAAAAGAAACCCATCAGGTTTCATTCTCTAATTTTCGAATAATAGCAACTTAAACTAATTTGCTTATTTCCAATTGGTAGATGTTGCACTTAAATGGTCTTCCTAGATCTGGAACCAATATTTCCCAAAGACTTATAATCTCTCAGAAGTGGCAAAAGATTAACATTTATTATTGGCTTTTGACTGAAACGCATCTATATGAGATACAGACATTTGACTATATTCTTCAACGAAATCAGCGTTAACGAAATAGTTAGAAGTGCGTCTTTCCTGTATTTGTACATTCTCCAAAAAGTCACTGGAATGAACATTTTCGTATTTTGTCTACAAAAGTTGGCAAACTCCTTCACACATTCAATATTTTTGGATGGCCATCCAAAACTGCTTGGCTTTTGCAATGTTCGGTAACCCCCATTCAAATGTGCGTGAGGACCAGGCGATAATTACGACCTGCTGACAATTTTGCAGTTTTTGGTCCATTTCAACCCCTAAATATATGGAGATCATCTCCAAAAAGAGTAGGCTTCTATTCTGACCCTCAACTTATCCCCATGCAAAATTTCGTTAGGATCGGGCTATAAATGCGATCTGTATATGATATCTTGATATCCTAACTACTTAGTTTTGTTAGCTGTAGAAATATTACCAAATGTTTAACTCGAAATGAAAATATGCCAAAAATATGACAAAATTGAAAAAATATGACAAAATATTTTCATCTTTAGAGAGATATTTTTATGCGATTTTTTAGACGTTTTTTCTTTCCTGCCAAGAGACCATTCTGAATTAATGAGAACTGTCGAAATCAGTTCAGCCGTTCTCGACAGCCGTTCAAACATATCTTCTTTGATAGGCATATATATCGCACATATTTTGCTATATATCCGATTTGTATGATGTTAACATCAATGTAAAGGTCAGAAGTAACCTTGTCATGGCCTTGTGACTTAGCCAGTATTTAAAATATTCGCGGTTTAATGAAAAAATTTGAATTTTTTCAACACAAAAGATATAGTCTATTTTACCCGCTAAATATTATCCGATGACCACCCAAATTGGTAGGCTTCTTCCCCGCCCTAAACTCTAGCTACATGCGAAATTCCGCGTTGATTGGTCTATAATTGCGACCTGTAGAGCAACTGCAAAATCAGGAATTTTTTCAGTTTTTGGTCCATTTCAACCCCTAAATATTATGCGATCATCTCCAAAAGAAATAGGGTTCTATTCTGACCCTAGCCCCACCTCCATTCTAAATTTCGTGAAGATCGGACCATATTTGCGACCTGTAGAGTGATTACAAATTAACATGGACAGACGGACAGACGGACAGACGGACGGACGGACATACATAGCTAGATCGACTCAGCTCGGCGAGATAGGAAGATCCATATATACTTTCCTATGTGGGAAACCAATATTTCGTGGTGTTACATAATTTTTGGCCCAATCAAACTTATAATACCCCCAACACATAGTGTTGTGTAAAATTATTTAAATATTTTTTGAAGTTCTTTCCTTACAATTTCTAATGAATATTTTTTTTTCATTTACAGATTTTGATTCAATACTGAATAGAAACTGGTATGTATTAATTTTGTTAAAATTATTTTAAATTATTCCTATAGTTTATCTAATTCTATTCTATTTGTTCACGTTTAAAAATGTGACGTTTTCGATGATATTTACACTTATGAATTATTCAATAACATTAGGGAAATTGAAACAAGTCAGAAGCATCGTAAAAAAATTAAACTCGCCAAACTATATCAATCGAAGGTTGTTGTTGCCATCACTTTTTATTGCCTCTGCTTTAAACGAAAAAATTCAATTATATAAACATACATAAAAAAGTATATGTTTATGCATAATAAATGTATATATACTTACTTTGTTATCATAATTCAAAAGCTAACAGCCAATATATGTGATTATGACGTCTATGCCAGCTTAATTCGATTATAAATTGTTTTTCCATTAATTATAATTTTAAAAAATCACTAATTCAATTATTATATTAAATGACAGGAAAAAAGTTATTATTGTGAGATTTTTTTTTTTTTTTTTAATTTTGAGATCATAATGTCACCATTGTGTTATTTAGAAGAACTTTAGCTCCTTTAGAAAAGTAGACGATTTCTTAAAATCAGAAATCAGAAATCGTCATATCCAAAAGTCCAATAGGCCTTATTGTACACATGATTGGAATATATTTTTGAATGAAATGAAGGAAGGCTTTAAGACCAGAATATACGTAGAAGAACAAAAAATTGATTTATTGGAAAGAAAACAAGAAGTTCCCCCCATAGAAGACCAGAAGGTCTTCCCATAAAGGACCAGATGATCTTTCAATAGAAAATCAGAAAGTATTCCAAAAGAAGACCAGAAGTTATTCCAAGAGAAGACCCGAAGGTCTTCCCATAGAAGAAAAGTTCCTATAGAAGACCAAAAGGCCTTTATATAGAAAACGAAAGAGTCTTCTTCGAATAGAAGACGATAGAATTTTTTCGAATAGAAGACGATAGAGTCTTTTCTGAATAGAAGAGGAGAGAGTCTTCTTCATATAGAAGACCCGAAGGTTTTCTTCGTATAGAAGACCCCAAGGTCTTCTTCGCATCGAAAACCAGAAGGTCTTCGTATAGAAGACCAGAAACTTTTCGTATAGAAGAGCATCAGGTCTTCGTATGGAAAACCAGTAGGTCTTCTTATAGAATACCAGTAGGTCTTCGTATAGCTGAAGATGATGAAGGCTTCATATAGAAGAAGGCCAGAAGGTTTTCGTATAGAAGAGCACAAGAAGGTCTTCTTCGTATAGAAGAGGACCAGAAGGTCTTCTTCGTATAGAAGAGGACCAGAAGGTCTTCTTCGTATAGAAGAGGACCAGAAGGTCTTCTTCGTATAGAAGAGGACCAGAAGGTCTTCTTCGTATAGAAGAGGACCAGAAGGTCTTCTCCGTATAGAAGAGGACCAGAAGGTCTTCTTCGTATAGAAGAGGACTAGAAGGTCTTCTTCGTATAGAAGAGGACCAGAAGGTCTTCTTCGTATAGAAGAGGACCAGAAGGTCTTTTTCGTATAGAAGAGGACAAGAAGGTCTTCTTCGTAAAGAAGAGGACAAGAAGGTCTTCTTCGTATAGAAGAGGACCAGAAGGTCTTCTTCGTATAGAAGAGGACCAGAAGGTCTTCTTCGTATAGAAGAGGACCAGAAGGTCTTCTTCGTATAGAAGAGAACCAGAAGGTCTTCTTCGAATAGAAGAGGACCAGAAGGTCTTCTTCGTATAGAAGAGGACCAGAAGGTCTTCTTCGTATAGAAGAGGACCAGAAGGTCTTCTTCGTATAGAAGAGGACCAGAAGGTCTTCTTCGTATAGAAGAGGACCAGAAGGTATTCTTCGTATAGAAGAGGACCAGAAGGTCTTCTTCGTATAGAAGAGGACCAGAAGGTCTTCTTCGTATAGAAGAGGACCAGAAGGTCTTCTTCGTATAGAAGAGGACCAGAAGGTCTTCTTCGTATAGAAGAGGACCAGAAGGTCTTCTTCGTATAGAAGAGGACCAGAAGGTCTTCTTCGTATAGAAGAGGACCAGAAGGTCTTCTTCGTATAGAAGAGGAACAGAAGGTCTTCTTCGTATAGAAGAGGAACAGAATGTCTTCTTCGTATAGAAGACAAGAAGAAGGTCTTCTTCGTATAGAAGACCAGAAGAAGGTCTTCTTCATATAGAAGACCAGAAGAAGGTCTTCTTCGTATAGAAGACCAGAAGAAGGTCTTCTTCGTATAGAAGACCAGAAGAAGGTGTTCCTTCGTATTGAAGAAAACCAGAAGAAGGTCTTCCTTCGTATTGAAGAAGACCAGAAGAAGGTCTTCCTTCGTATTGAAGAAGACCAGAAGAAGGTCTTCCTTCGTATTGAAGAAGACCAGAAGAAGGTCTTCCTTCGTATTGAAGAAGACCAGAAGAAGGTCTTCCTTCGTATTGAAGAAGACCAGAAGAAGGTTTTCCTTCGTATCGAAGAAGACCAGAAGAAGGTTTTCCTTCGTATTGAAGAAGACCAGAAGAAGGTCTTCCTTCGTATTGAAGAAGACCAGAAGAAGGTCTTCCTTCGTATTGTAGAAGACCAGAAGAAGGTCTTCCTTCGTATTGAAGAAGACCAGAAGAAGGTCTTCCTTCGTATTGAAGAAGACCAGAAGGTCTTCCTTCGTATAGAAGAAGACAAGAAGGTCTTCCTTCGTATAGAAGAAGACCAGACCAAGGCCGGAAGAAGACCAGAAAGCCTTTGTATATAGAAGACCAGAATATCTGTATATATGGAAGACCAGAAGGTCTTTGTATATAGAAGACCAAAAGGTCTTCGTATATTAGAGACCACAAGGTCTTCTTATATTCATTCTTTCCCTGAGATGGCCAGAGTTTTATTTTCAAGGAAGACCAGATCTTATAGATGACAAGATTTTTTTTCAATTAATAACACAAAGTTACATGTTTTACAGTAGATTAGAAATTAACATTTGATGGTTTAAAAGTTTTCTTAAGAAAATCAGAAGATATTCGACCCAAAATATTCTTTATAGAATATCCAGGTTTGTTGCCTGTTATGCCGAAAAGAATTTTAACTGATTTCGTTTCCTAAAGGAAATTATTTCCCATAGATTAACATTATGTACATGCCTCTTTGGAATTTAACAAAACATTGTTTTTGCATGCAGCTCACCCTTTACAATGACATAGATGCATGTCTGTTTCTATTATAAATAATTAATAATAGTTTTTTGTTTAATTTGTCACTATTTCTTCGCCGTGACCACTTCGCTATTTGATTAATTCATTCAGTCTTTCGTCATTCGGCAAAAACCACACTTTTCCAATTAATCAAATTTGTATTGCAAATTATCATTGAAAGAATGATCATTAATTTGCTACTCAAATAACGGACGCATTGTTTATTAATTATAACGGTAATTAAAAATACATTTACATGCAAAGTGGCATATACATCACATATGCATACATAACAGTACTCATATGTATTAAATTAATTTATTATTTATTATAAGCAAAACATAAACAATTGGAAAAAAGAAGTGTGGAACAGTATTTCAAAAAATATATATTCATTTAAATTAAATGTTTATTTAAATTTTCTAAAGACCATTTGACAGATAACCTTTTCAGAGCTTTGAAATATTTCAACAAATTCATATTTAAATTTAAATCTGGTTCAAAGCACTGTTCTGCCCCGCTTTTAACCTTTAATACGGTCATTCATATGCAAATCTTGAATAAGGTGCGCGTCCAGATGATTCTGTTTTTTGTTGTTTTGTAGGACAAGTTAACAGAACTTCTGCCAAACAAAAACCCAGCTTTTTCACATTGAAATGTGTAATTTATGCAAAAAAAGAAAAAAATTTAATCCGCTGAAATAAAAAAAGTCAAACCGAAATCATGCTTACTCACGTGTTGCACAATGCCCTTTTTTATTTCTTTTTTTTTTTTGAAATGTTAATTTGTGTCTGTTTGTGCGAATATCTATTGTTTCGCTGCTAATTTTATTGCAAAATAATTGCTCTTTTTCGATTTGGTTTCAAATTTGCCGTGGGTTTTAAAACAAAATTGCCAAAAGCTTTAGTGGTAGCGCTTTTTTTTCGCTCTTATAGCTGTTGGTTGTTTTGTTTTCTTCCATTCCAGCATCATCGGTGCGGTTGCATAAATTTGCGATGCCTTGACAAAAGAATTGTAACTGTCATTTCTATTGTGCGGATTTAAACGCTGGTGTTTGGAGTTCACTGAACTTTTGATTAGAAAAAAAAAAAAACACACAGATCTTTATTTCTATGTAGCTATTGGAGCGTGTGTCTAGCTTTAGATTTCAAAGAATGATTAGCGTTTGTATTTGATGAATAGAATGTTCTAAATTTTATTGAGCTATTGGTTGAAACAATGCTATTATCTAGCTTTTAGCATGCCTTTCTAATCAAGGTGCGTCTCTTTACAAATTAAATGTGATTGTAATTCGTTTGGAATCTCATAAAATATGAGGATGAAACTCCGAAGTGATTCAAAAAACAAGTTAAAAAAATCAGTCGGTTTTGCCGACATATGTATGCCCTCAGCCAATGTTCGATTATTTACATATATTTTAACTTCTGTTTTGATTATTCAAATTGCTGACCCTCTATGGAGTACGTTCCGAAATTAATATAATCCAAACCAATATAATTCCGAAGGAAGTCAATATAGTCCATTTCATATCGGACCTAAATAAATGTGATATAAACATTGCGACGTGCCACGTTTGGATAATATTGGTTACTTCCTTCACTTTAGGTGAGATCAAATATTCCATTTTCATGCTACGTCTAATACAGATAAAAATATTGATATGGGCAAAATTACAAGAAAATCGAAAATTCATATCCAATTTTATGCGAAAACATAAATTCCATATTCATTTCAGGTCTCTGGTTGAGGGAAATATTTAGACACAGAAAGTTGTAAAGAATCGCTGAGTTGTTTCGCAAGTTATGACATATAAATATATTTAAAATTTTAACCCTTTGTGGGTGGGGTAGCCGAAGCGATTCGCAGATATGCAGGGTGAGATAAAAAACTTCGACAAAGTCAAACGCCATTATTTTTAGATTTTTTTTTTTAATTTTATTGAATTAAAGCAAAAGTGTCGGAAATAGCTTCAAGTTTTAGAATAAGTTTAGATTTGTTGGAATTGGTCACCTTTGGCACGAATTATGGCCTTCAAACGGCCAATGAAACCGTCATACGCTGCCCGAATGTTTCTCTGCGGTATTTTGGCCCATTTCCGGCGAAGCGATTGCTTGAGGTGATCGACACTTTGTTATTTTTCAGTGCCAACCTAGCTTTCCAAAATATTCCAGACACAATAGTCCAACGAATTGTTATCCGGAGATTTTGGTGGCCATTGTGCGCAGGAAATGAAGCGAGGAATCTCATTTTGTAACCATTCTTGGGTGACGCGTGCTGAGTCCTGTTAGAATGTCCAAGGTCTGCAGTCAAAATGTTTGCGTGCCCAAGGCTTTAATACATCCTCCAGAATATTTTTGCGATAATATTCGGCATTTATTCTGATGCCACGGTCCATTAATACGAGCCGAGAGCGACCATGGGTTATAAGGGCGACCCACACCACCACCAAGGCCGGCGCTTGAGTTCTGGTGGCCAACCGAAGGTGCACATTTTCAGCTGACCTCTTTGTCAAGTAAACACGATCATTTTGTTTGTTTACCAACTGCTGGACAACGAATGTTTTCTCATCGGAGGCAACCAAATTCGGCAGTTCACCACTTTCGGCCAAGCAAAGAAACTCTTTAGCTATTTTAAGTCTATTTTCTTTCTGTTGCACTTTTTGGAATTTCAATGGCTCATATCTCATTTTTCAATATTTGCGGAATAAATTGTTGGGATATGTTTGGCTCACGAGCCATTTTTCGGACACTGCGACGCGGGTTTCGATCAAACCGCTTCTTTACTTTTCGAACCATTTCTGCTGATGTTGCTGTTTTCTTCCGTCCACTTCCTTGACGCTAGCAGTATCACGATAACGAGCGATGGTACGAGACACAAAAGATTTATTCACATTGAAATGCCGGAGTGCTCCAACGATAGCCACTTGTGGTTTTCCAGCCAAATATAAAGAAATCGCACTATCACGCTTGAATTTCATTACGAATAACTTTATTTCTGGAAAATTCTCACCAAAATGCTTTTGTACGCTTGTAAACTATATAGTGAGCTGTTACTGGAATAATTTTAACAGTTGTCGGACGAGAGGCTTAGAAATGACAGCAGTCTGAAATTGATTGCAGTTGTTTCATCGCACCCTGTATATACTACTTTTTCAGTAAAATTTGATGCTTTTTTCTCTTTCTATGAAAAATATGAAGGTTTTTTTTTTAATTTTGTATAATTATCATGGAGGTCGAACTCCTAACTCGATTTAAGCTTCTCAATATTATCACTAAAAAATTATTAATATTGCTACAAATTGGCTAAAAGTTAGCATAACAAGCGGGCAAACATTTATAAAGCGAGTCCAAATATTCTAATACAGATTTCGTCCAAATTCTCATAGGACCCAAAACGGTTATTTCTATGGGTCTCAGTGTGATCGCATTAGATGACTCTGTAACCATAAATATTAGAGTATATTAAACAAATATTTTTTGAGTGAAACTTGAAATTTCTTTATAAAGCTTTCAGCTAAAAATGACCTAATAACAATTTATTTTTTTTTTTATTTTCAGATAATTACTCTTTGAATCTCATTACAATTTCTTTATATAAAATCATCAGCACAATACACCGAAAATGCGGCAACAACGAAAGCACACTTCCCTGCTGCAACTGCTAATGGGGTTATATTTTGTGATATGTTCCATGCGACACTGTAACGGCGAGGTCTACACGGCCCTGGCTGATATGGAGGAGCTACTAGAGACTGAAACTGTATTAATAAGTAATTTAGAAGGTTTTATTAAGGTCGAACAAGAGAAGCTGGATTATTTGAAAACGTAAGTACATTTTTCTTAAGCACTATATTTAAGTATAGATTATTGATTAAAAAAAAAAATTATAAATTCCTGGAAAAATAACTTAAGGCCAACCATACTTAAGAGTATGAAGGTACATTCATGTTTATGTAATTATGTCCATATCCATTTCAGTTCATGAATGTATGTTTGGTGCGTTGTAATTACATGAAATATCCAATTTCAAATGAATGCAATTAAACTGCTCATTATTGACCTTTCGGACTGGTGTGCGCGCCACCATTCCAAAAAAACATTTCATTTCATTGACATTCGCCAAATTTGTAATTAGAAAATGTGTTTCTATTTCTTTTGTTGGGGACGATAACACCCTTTTTCCCCATTTTCATTATGACAGCTGTGTTCAAACCACAACAGAAACACACATCGATTCTAAAGGACAAAAGGTGTTCAAATAGAAACGATAGGAAAAATAACAACAGCAACAGTACCAGCCGTTGTAGCACGTGTTCCGAAAAAAATGCACGTGGAACTCAATAATCTAAAGATCGAAAGGTAAATGTGTGTGTGTGTATGTCAGTCAGGATGCCCGTCTACCTAATGATATTGAAGTTTGTTGGTGATAATTATCAGTTGTATTGTATGTAATATCTGTTTATAATTATCAAAGGAAAACCATATGGCATGTGTTCGGGAAGAGGGAACCTGTTGGAATGGAAATAATGTTAAGGATCGAAAAACAATTCTTTAAAGAACAAGTATCTATATTTAATTTATATTTTTCCAAGGATCAACAGATCAATATTGGTGGAGTTTTTAAGAAAATTTTTTCAAGGAACAACAGATCAATATTCCTTGGTTTTTTTAGAACATTTATGTAGGATCCTTGACCAATAAACGTCGATTGTTTAAAAATATATTTTCGGGGATCATCAGACAAATAATCAGGATTTTTTTAGAATATTTTTTAAGGACCAAAAGACCATTATTCGTGGGCTTCATAGGGAAATTTTTCAAAGACTAAAATACAAGGAATCGTGAGGTTTGTAAGAATATCTTTTCAAGGACCAACAGATCAATATTCCTTGGTTTTTTTAGGAACATTTTTTCAATAATCCTGGCGTTTAAAAAAAATAAGGACCAAAAGACCAATAATCGTGTGGTTTTCAAGGATCAAAAGGTTAATAATTGTGCATCTTCCGAGGATCAGAATTTCATATGTTGATTTTTTAGAATATTTTTTATGGACTAAAATGCCGATAATCTTTAATTTTTATGGTTTTTATTTCACGAATAAAACGCCATTAATCAGGGATTTTTGAAGAAAATTCTTTTAAGGAAAATATATTCAACGTTTTTTAAAGGATTAAAAGTTCAGCAATCGTCCAAAAGAATAAAATGCGTCCAAGAAAAATAAAACATTTTTAAAAATCTCTTTTTTTTTTAAAAAAAAATAATATCTTTGATTTTTTAAGGATATTTTCTCAGGGACCAATTAACAAATACTTCTCGATATTTTAAGAATATTGTTTCAAGGATCAAATGGCCAATGATCTCAGAATTTAAAGAATATTATAAGGACCAATAATCGTTTTTTTTTTTTGGAATTTTTCAGAAATCAATGGACCAATAATTTTTGATCAGAGATTACAGAGATCAACAGTCGTGGATATTTTAAGATTTTTCTTGAAATATCATTAAACACTGTACTACACCCAAAAATTTTAATAAGTTTCGCCAATTTGTACAATTTTGTAAATACTCTAGTTAAGATTGCACGGAATTCATGTATTCTATATATATAGCACTTTGCTTATCCCATAGTGTTCGTCATAAAATTTTACTGTGGGTCTTAGAATACCCCAAAACTCCTAAACTTAGCTAAATTTCAAAAAATTTAGAATTAAAGTCTCACTCCAAAATATTTTCATTTTGAATTTGGATTTAATTTTGAATCACTCGCCCAAAAAATGCAGGCTGCACGATTTATGGTAGTTTATATATGAAATATTTCAGATATCCAGATTTTTAGTTTAGACAACAATTACGTCATAGGGATAAGCCGTGTATTCAGGCATTGTATATGCATGTGAGTTGTAGGAACCTATTTCAGTAAAAAAAACAAGTAAAAATACAGCTAAGTTCGGCCAGGCCGAACTTTTAATACCATTCCACCACTTGGAAGAAACTTGAAAATTTTCAAAAAAATACGAAAACTACCACTTAATTGAAAACCGTTATATGGAAACTATGCGAAGACGTGGATCTGCTTACGATTTTTTTGTGATAGGCTGCAGTATCCATTACGAACTTTAAATACGAAATTTGATACAATTCCTGTGAATAATGTCGCAAAAATCATGAAAATACCGAGTATCGGGAGGTACCGTCATGTAGGTGCTACACGAAGACATGAATCTGCATACGAAATGTTTGTCATAGGTTGTAGTACCCATTAAGATTTTTCAATACGAAATTTGAAACGATTCCGGCGAATAAAATACCGAATATCGGGAGTTACCGTTATATGGGGCCCATACGAAGACGTGGATCTGCATACAAACATTTTTGTCATAGGCCATTACGAACTTTAAATATGAAAAAATTCCGGAAAATAATGTCGCTAAAATCATGAAAATACCGAATATCGGGCTATATGGGTGCTATACGAATACGTGGGCCGATATAGTCCATTTACGAACTTAACCTGCCTACTGGTAAACTAAGCATGTGTGCAAAATTTCAGCCTTCTATCTCAATTCGTCCGAAAGCGTGATTACAAGAGACAGGCGGACAGACAGACAGGCGAACGGACACCGCTATATCTTCTTAGAATTTTACGCTGATCCAGAATATTTCGAGGAGTTACAAACGGACTGATAAATTTAATATACCCTCCATAGAATGTGGAGGGTATAATAAGGAATTTATATAGGCCCTAATATACTTGATTTTATTGAAGACCTTGAAAATATCGCAATTAGGGAAATTCTATCAATGGGAAAATATACGGAACTATGTCATTTATGCATTTTATCTATAGACTATTCTCCCATCATCTAAATATCCTTTAGGTATTTCATTGAGCTTCTTATATATTTCTAAAAATTTCCAAAATGTTTTTTGTTTTACTCCGACACTAGGGAGTCTCATAAACCCACAAAAGCATTCCACACTAATACGATTTTGGTTTAAATGTCAACCAATAAAATATTAATAATCATGGCAAGGATATATCAAAAAGGATCAAAATAAAATGGAGGGGCATTGTACTGCTGTTGTTGTCTACACTAATCCAGCACATGTCAAATGTGGGCTAAAATTATGTCTTGTCATTCTGCTGTTTTCAGCTTTAGGCATGCAAGGCAGACAGACGGTTGGTCGGCTTAAAAATAAACCGACATTCATTCCTATTCCAAAATGTAATACTCCTCGCCAGTAAGCATCCAAATGCCACTCATGGCACATTTTTCATCTTCTACTTTCCGCTTTACACCTTTCCTGTACACCGGGATGAATAAATAGTCCAAAAGACAATAAGGAATATGATGGTGGGACCAGGTATTCTTCGGCCAGGACAAAATGCACACACGCACACATCTGAATGAACAACAATTAAGACAATTAAATGAAACAAATGTCGTTGTTGTTTGTTGGCCCGTATGACGGCGCTGTAGGCTGAAGACTGTGTGTGACGACAAAGCTGATGATGATGCCGGTTTAAAATTTTCTTGGTGCTGTTGTTGTTACTATAATGGATGCCAATACAAATTTGCTGGCATGTGGCACGAGCCATTGCATATACATTATTACCACTACCAATGCAACTCACACAAGAACACTGTAGGCAATATCAGCAGCATCAACACCGTCATCAAGCAAGGACCGCCAACATTTGATGTCAGGAAGAGCCTTTTTTATTAAAAAGAGGAAACAAATGTAGGTTGTTCCACATACTCCAAAAACCTGAGTGTGTCCTTTTGTGGCAAAAAGAGAGAATGGAAATAAGGGAGAGTATGGGAGAGAGAGAGAGAGAGAGAGAACGTGATAAGCAAGAAATACAAAACAGTTTTAAAACAGCTGACAGCTGTTTAGTTGGATCCTGTCTGTTGAGACATCAGCAAAAACAAAGACGAAACGTTCTCGTTGTTAATGTTGTTGTTGTTGTCTCAAGGCTGTTGCACTTTAAAGGAGCAACCGAACAGCCACCACAATTCCAATAGCAGTTAGGAAATAAAAATATTTAAAATGTTTAAATTAAAGGATCTTTTTTTGGGTTACGAGGGATAGGGAGATAATTTGGGAAGATTGTAATAAAAATAAGAAAAAATCTGTTGATTCTGATGACTGATATACGTTTAACTTCAATCTAACTACACCATTTTGCACCATCAGAATCTTGGGTTCCCGTGAAATTAAAATGTCTATGTTTTGGATATTTTCTAATTGATTTTCTAATTGAGGAACACATTCTCGCAAAAAAAAAAAAAAAAAAATTAAAGGTAGTTTCAGGTTCTAAAACATTTCCTATATCATTACCATATTTTCCAAAGTAACGATTTGAAGACTAAAACATTATTCCATTACGGATGTTATAAAAAGATTTTGGAGTGTCCGAACTTAACGTAGTTTTTATTTCTTTTATATATTGACCCTTTTTCAGGGAGGTCCCAGAAGCACACATTTTGTAATCAATATCGGCCATCTTGAGACTTCTTCCATTATGATGGGCACCAGTTAGACCAGGAAATTAAGGACACATTTTTAAAGAAATTTTCATGTCTTCTCTCACACAAGAATAACTGGAATTTTCACCCCTACCTCTTAACAACAAAATTTTGTTGTTGTTTTCTTAAAATGCGGGTATTTCTTTCTCATTCGATATTGAGGATCCTCCGCTGAATGCCATTTTATAAAAAAAAAAACATTTATATAATTTCTATAAGAATAAGAATGGAGGGATCGTAATCAACAAATGGAATGCGCTCCAGCATTTCTATCACAACATTTGTACAATTTCC